CTCAAAAACATTTGAAAACATCTTTTCGAAAAGATTCACACTTTTGTAAAACACTCAAACACGAGTCAAATACATTAGTTGCCTAAGACAAGGCATCTTTTTCCAAAACATTTTCAAAAGCACCCACACACACACACCATCTTCAAAGCAATCAAAAAACAAGGCAAGTGATCTAAAAAACCAAGTAACTAAGAGCCCATAAATAACCATGGATGAAAAGGGTGCTAATACCTTCCCTTTTCATAATCTACCCCCCGAACCCACGAAATATCTCAAAAGGTTTTTGCTGTGCTTTTTTAACCTTTCCTTTAGGATAAAGTAAAAAGTCGGTGGCGACTCTTGCTAAACCGCAACATTTGCGAATACAAACGCAAAACCTAAGTCAGTTCTCCCACTGTATCACAGATAAGATTCCATATGCATCTGCAATAGGATCTATCATGTATGCCATGCTATGTACTCGACCAGATGTCTCGTATTCTTTAAGTGCAACGAGTAGGTACCAGTCTAATCCCGGTGATGCTCATTGGGTAGCTGTCAAGAATATCCTTAAGTACTTGAGAAGAACTAAGGACTCATTCTTGATATATGGAGGTCAGGAAGAGCTTGCTGTAATTGGATACACCGATGCTAGCTTCCAGACATATAAGGATGACTTTAGATCGCAATCTGGTTATGTGTTTTGTTTAAATGGTGGCGCTGTGAGATGGAAAAGTTCAAAGCAAGATACAGTTGCTGATTCTACAACCGAGGCTGAGTATATTGCTGCCTCAACTGCAGCAAAGGAAGCTGTTTGGATCAAGAAGTTCATTAGTGAACTTGGCATAGTCCATAGTATTATGGATCCCATTGATCTCTATTGTGATAACAATGGTGCTATCGCACAAGCTAAGGAGCCTAGATCTCACCAACGATCCAAACACATACTTAGGCGTTATCATCTCATTCGAGAGATAATTGATCGGGGAGATGTGAAAATATGCAGAGTACCTACACTTGACAATGTTGCTGACCCATTAACAAAGCCTCTTGCGCAGCTGAAGCATGATGGACATACTAGATCTATGGGTATTAGGGGTATGCCTGATTGGCTCTAGTGCTAGTGGGAGATTGTTGGTGTAAGCCCTAGAGGCCAATACTTTTGGTACTTGTATCAAATTATTTATTAATAATAAAAGGCATTTCTTTATTATGTTTGCTTTCCAAAATAATAAAGTCCCTAGAATGGTTTATTTGTTTAATGAAATGTTAAGTGTGACTTAATCATGATATCCCATTAAACATAAGACACTATTCTTAAAGTATCCGTAGTCAAGCTTTAATGTGAAGTGGGATAACATTAAAGCATTAAGATTATTATGAAGATAGATTGATGATCACATCTCATGGATCATAGGTAAGGAGTTATCAAGTCTTGACATAAATATGAATATTAGGAGTAATATTTATACTGGATTGACCCGCTATGAGAATACTACATAGAATGTTATGCAAAGTGTCATAAATTATTCTCATGATGATAATGGTGTATACCACCCTTCGACCTGAAACCACTATGGACCCTAGATGTAGAGTCAAGTACTTTATTGCTGATCAAACGTCATCCGTAACTGGATGACTATAAAGACGGTTGATGGGTACTTCACAAAGCATGCTAAGGGACATGAGTGACCTAGATGGAATTTGCTCATCCTGCATAACAGGATAAAAGTCTAAGGGCCCAATATTGAACTGGACAAGGGTGACACAGTGTATGCCTTGTGTTCAATATAGACATGAGGGCAAAAGGGTAATTGTACAACACAAATATCATCACGGAAAAGGTTTGGTCAAATCACATGACATTTTCGTGACTTGGGTAACAGTGATGTGTTGCTAGATACCGCTCACTGTTTATTATATTAAATGTGTGATTTAATATAATTGCCAACGTCGCGAAAACCTACAGGGTCACACACATAAGGACAAGTTGATGAGAGATAGAATAAATAAGGAACACCGTAAGGTACAGTGCACTTAAGTGTAATACGGAAAGTGGTAAGGTACCACGTGGATAAGTGATATATGGTACATCATAAGGTATGATGTCCATAAGCTTAATTGGGCTTTTAGCTTGTAGCCCACACGAGTGATTCTATAAATAGATCCCTTGTGATGAAGCAATTTCACTTGATGCAGTTTCGTTTTTGATTCTCTCTCTCACTCAAGGTTTCCGTTCATGATCAGCTAGCACTGTGACCGAAAGCGATCTGTTCGTGTGGACTGAGTAGAGGCGTTGTTCTTCATCAACGCTCGTGATCACAACATCAAAGGTCTGAATCGCCACAAGAGGTAAATATTTCTATCACTGACCATGCTCATTCGTAAGGATCGCTAAAGGAAAATTTTAAATTCCGCTGTGCTTTTGATCGCAATTTTCCTTCACTTAACACCCCCTCTCACGCTCAGGAATTGGGGATGAAGCGTGGAACTAAAGGGTGGGTGGCCCAATGGATCTTAGATGAGGCTCTGATACCATCTTAAAATGTGTGGATTGAGCCTAACTCAATTTTACAAAATCGGCTTGTAAGGTGAGGATTACTATCACTTATAAACTCATGTTCATGCCATATATTGTCCAATGTGGAACTATTAACAACTATGACTAGGAATATGTTCACTCACAATAGGCGACAATTTAAACTTAGAAGTACACTCAAGTGTTTTAGGGAAGTTATGACTAAGGATCAGAAACTCATATACTCAGAGTCCCAATCATTCATGCTCCCCCCTAAGACCGAGGATGATTGAAGGTCAATGTCTCCACAACCATCAATCTCCATATGAAAGTCATATATAATAATATACGGAATGCCAAAAGGAGAAATATTCTTCAAAAAATATTGAGAATTCTATGTCATGTGATGAGTGACACCAGAATAAAAAATATAAGTGCATTTAGAATCAATATCGACAACATTAAAAGCACAAATCACAATAAATTTATTTTCAACTATATTAGTTGATACTTGCAAAAGTGTCTTCTCAAGAGAAGTAGAAAGAAAAAAGGCTTAAATGCAGTTTTGACCCCCCTAGTTTAAGGTTTTTGGAGTTTCGATCCCCCTAGTTTAAAAGCCAGGTTTCTAGTCCCCATAGTTTTCAAATTTGGGATTTTTGAAGCCCCCTCCATCTGGCTGCCCAAAAAGTTTTCAAATTTGGGATTTTTGAAGCCCCTCCATGTGACATGGCACAGGGAGAGTAATGTCACGTATTATTTTCTTATTTCTTATTTAGAATAATATTTTTTAAACATTTAAATAAGTGATATTAATTTCCAAATGAATTTTTAATTTCATAATTCATATTTTCTGAAAATCCCAAATTGCTTAACCTAATTTCCTCTTCCATCCGCCCGTACGAGATTTCAAAAATCCCAAATTTGCAAACTTTTTGGGCAGCCAGATGGAGGGGCTTCAAAAATCCCAAATTTGAAAACTATGGGGACTAGAAACCTGGCTTTTAAACTAGGGGGATCGAAACTCCAAAAACCTTAAACTAGGGGGTCAAAACTGCATTTAAGCCAAGAAAAAACTATCCCAACAAATAGTAGCAAAGCGACACGCAAACTTCGTCCCAATTTTTCTTCTTCTTTTTTTTAATTGATTTTTTATAAATAAATCGGATGAACAATACTTACATGAATAGTGTCAACTAGATAAACACTTCCACCATGTGAACAATGATCAGAGATGAAAAGTACCAACGCGTGAACAATGATCATGAATGAACAATATTTAAGGTTGAACTAGTACCAATGCGTGAACAACCTCGTCGGAATGAATAGTTCTTTAAATGAGTGCATATGACCATTGCCTCAAAATCTCAAACAATATGTAATTAAGAAGAAAACAAAGTAAACCACAGTGACGGTGGCTAGAATTTAAGCGGAGGCAAAACTCTCAAAATCGAAAGCTCTAATCCCATGTAGAAAAAAATATTTTAATACATTTTAAATTTGTAATTTATAGTAAGAAAATAGACTAGCTTAAAAATAGAGATAAATCTAAATCTAATTAGTTTACTTTAGTAATAAAATAAAATAACTATAAATGTAAATAACGATATAAACTATCATTAATTTGATTTTTTAAGTAATGTGAATTTTTTTTCCACCCAAACAAGTTTTAAATTAAATAGACCTAAGATGGAGAACATAATAAATATTTCTTTTAGAAAAGAGAGATGTAATTTACTCATTTAATTAAGTAAAAATATTAATGTTTATGTAATTGAAGCACTAGAAGAAAATGAGTCACTCAAATTGTGTGTCCAGAACAGGGCCAGTTAAAATTCACAATTTTATATAATGATAATATAATTGTTTTTGTATATACTAGTGTCAAAATGCTTGTCTTTCTATTTTTCTCTGTTCTAAGGAAATAATTAAACCTTACTTTATTTAATAAATACCTAATTAAATTAGTTTGCGTGGTAATCCCATATTGTAGGAAAGAAAGGAGACAATAGAAAAAGAGTAACACTTGTCTGCTTAACAAATCCAACCGTAAACGAACATGAATCTATGCATGCATCAAACTAACTACCTAAAATAATACCAACACATAATGTTTAAGGAATTATAATGACTCGTTTTCATCCATTTTCAGAATTATTAATCATTTTTATAATTATTACTATTATCTTTATTTTCTCTTCCTCTAATTTCAGACACGAATATAATTTCTCTCTTTTTCTCTCCAACAGCTTGATGTATCTTGCTGGCAATTCTGTTACCCAGAATCAACCAATTTTCTGGCTACTTCATCATTGGAACTAAGCTTCATTCTTTAAAACAAGAACAACATTGTTTGTGTTTTTGATTTGATTATTAGATCACAAAACAAAACATCCTCGATTAATGGGATAAATATTCAAGATTGTTGTTGGTTGTCATTGGTGTTCTTTTTGTTTTTGTTTTTCATTTTTCTAGCCATTTCTGAGAATATATCAAGTTTAAATTCATGATGAATTCAGAAATGGCTAAGAAAAATAATGAGTCTAACGGAACGTCTTCTTCTCAAACAGAAAATGGTTCTGAAAAAGATGATTCTGAAAAAGCTCCTGAAAAAGATTTAGAAAAACAAGCTTCTGCTCCTTCTCCGTCTAAATCACCATCTGATGATGCAAACCCTCCAGAAAAACCACCATCAAAGTCTCCACCTCCGCCTTCATCACCTCCTCCGCAGCATTCTCCACCGCCACCTTTACCACCTCGTTCTCCACCACCTTCTCCACCACTACCACCTCCGCAAGCACAAACTCCCCCGGAAGCTCCACCGCCAGATTCTTCGCCACCTCCCTCAAAAGTTTCATCTCCTCCACCTTCTCAATCATCGCCGCCTCAATTGTCACCGCCTCCAAGACCACCTCTATCATCGCCACCAGCTCCGTTATTTTCGCCACCACCACCACTGCCCGACGGTAATTCTCCCACTCCATTACATTCTGATTCCCCTCCCCCATCTCCTCAGCCTCCATCCTTACCTTCCCCCTCTTCCAAATTTAGTCCTCCACCACCGCACGCCCATCCTTTGCCGCCACAATCACCACTCATTTCCCCAAGCTCCCATTTAAAACCAAGCTCTTCTCCTCCCAAAAGCAACTCTCAATCCAAACATTCCTCCTCCAATCCTAATCCAGCACAATACATTGGTTTTACTCTCGCAGCAGTTTTTGTTCTCGCCTTTATCGCAGCCATTCTTTTTCTAGTATTAAGAAAGAGAGAGAAACGAGGGAATGTCTATTGTTTGCCACCCCCCAAGAAATCTCAAATGAAAGGAGGTACATGATTTATTGTCAACATTATAAAAAGTTTTTTTGAAATTCAATGAAGCAGCATTCATATCTATGATTGAATGTCAAGTCTGATTTTGATACTTGTCAGACACGTCTTCTATCACTGGTGTTAAATAATATGTTTTTAGCATTTCTATTATTTTCATTTTATTAATATATTATTGAATTCTGCAATCATTTTTCATATTTTGCAGATGTGCATTACTATGTAGACTCACCAGGTTTTGGTTATAGTAATAGGAACCATTTAGTTGCAATGAACCATTTGAGAACTCCTTCAGACCCAACACAACAACAAATGAATACTGGCCAAATTTTTTTTAGTTATGAACAGATTGTGGAAATCACTAATGAGTTTTCAAGCGAAAATGTGATAGGAGAAGGAGGTTTTGGCCGTGTTTACAAGGCTTCAATGCCTGATGGTAGAGTTGGAGCCGTTAAGTTATTGAAGGTCGGTAGTGGTCAAGGAGAGAGGGAGTTCAGAGCAGAGGTTGATATTATTAGTCGTGTACATCATCGACATTTGGTATCGTTGATTGGTTATTGTTTATCTGAGCAAAAAAGAGCTCTCATTTATGAGTTTGTTCCTAACGGGAATCTTGATCAACATTTGCATGGTAATGTGAGTTTCATTTTTGAATTATTGTTCTCTTCGGGAAAATTTGACTTGGATCCTCTAGTTGTTTTATGGTGCAGCAGTGGTAGAAATTGTTAACTCTCTAAATGTAACTATTTCTACGGATGCTTCACTATAAAACAACCCTAGGGAATCCTAACTCAGGAAAATAAAGTAATGTGTTTTTTTAAAAGTGTTTGTCATGAGTGTTTTTTGTGTGTTGTTTTCTCAGAAAGTGAATGGAATGTTTTGGATTGGTCCAACAGGATGAAGATAGCAATTGGTGCTGCAAGGGGCTTAGCATATTTACACGAAGGATGTAAGTATATGTATATTTCACATTGTTCCATGGGTTACGCATTCTATTTCATGTTCCATATTTAAAAGTAGTTTTGCATTTTATGAAATGCTAAGGTTTATTTTTCTATTTTTCTAGGCAACCCAAAGATTATTCACAGAGATATTAAGTCGTCGAATATACTCTTGGATAATGCTTATGAGGCACAAGTATGTTACGCGTATACTTTTTAACGTGTCTCTTATTTAAATTGAAGTCCTGGATCCCAAATTTATCCTTGTTCAAATACAGGTTGCAGACTTTGGACTTGCCAGATTAACCGACGATGCTAATACTCATGTATCAACTAGGGTGATGGGTACATTTGGGTATGTTTGCTAATTTGGTAAAAAGTAATTTCAAATGATAAACTAAAAGACTCTAATTCATTTTATTTACCTTCAATTTGCAGCTATATGGCTCCAGAGTATGCAACGAGTGGAAAACTAACGGATAGATCAGATGTTTTCTCATTCGGAGTTGTTCTTCTTGAGCTCATAACTGGAAGGAAACCTGTTGATGCAACACAACCCGTGGGGGATGAGAGTTTGGTCGAGTGGGTATGTATACACCAAAACAAGTCTTTATATATCATAGTGCCACATTACATAGATCAATAATATTATTTTTCTCTTAACTATTTGCGAAGTATATTGATTCTGATCATACATAGTTAACTTAACTACGCGCTTTGAATGATGTTTTCACAGGCTCGTCCACTTCTCCTTCGTGCAATCCAGACAGGTGACTTTAGTGAACTAGCAGACCCAAGGCTTCAACGACAATACGTTGACAGTGAAATGTTTAGAATGATCGAGGCAGCTGCAGCAAGTGTTCGCCATTCTGCCCCAAAACGACCCCGTATGGTTCAGGTAACAACAATACTAACACATGTCTATCTTGTTCTAACAATTATCATTACACGCATTCATAACTTGATTTTTATCAGATTGCAAGAGCCTTGGACAGTGGAGATCAACTCTATGATCTATCAAATGGGGTTAAATATGGTCAGAGCACAATTTACGATTCTGGACAGTATAATGAAGACCTTATGAGATTCAAAAGGATGGCTAATGGAAGTTTTGATGACTCTGAATTCGATATTTATAGCTCGGAATACAGTTCAAGAGACATGCCTAGTGGATCTGCATGGATACCACATACTCCAAGTGCCGATTTGCAAGTTAAACCTGTCCAAGAATAAAACAACACTGTAAAAAGCTATAACCCCACTAATTTCACTAAACATGGGAAATCAAAAACTCTTCAATTTTTGTTCTGTTTCCTTTCCCCCATTTTTTTTAATAGAGGGGAACAATGAAAGTTTCTATGGTATAAATCTTATATACTATAATGCGGGATATGATGGAAGATTGAGTTTGTTTCAGCACATTAGTAATGATACATTGAGTTTGTATAAAACATCTATGGTTTGTGTTTTGCATTTTGAAACTATGTTTGAATGATTCTTATGTAAATAGAATGTATAAAACTAATAAAATCTAATTAAGTGATATTGTAGTTGATTTTGATTGTCCGATTTAAGTTAATGGTTGAGATCGATTTAAATTAATGTAATGAATATTTAATGAGTAGTTCAGTTTAAGAAGGTTCCGTAAATATTGAGTTTGATTCTGAGTAGAATTAATTATGCTTTTAGAAATGATTTTACTTAATTTCAAATTTGTATCTTTTAAATTTATACGTGATTTTTTTAAAATTTTATTGTTCAATTTAATTTTGAAAAAAGTTATTTAAACATAAATCACTTTATTTAACTAATGAAAAGAAAGATACACCAAAATCATCTTATTTTAGCGCATTCCATCCTTGCAAGACAGCAAATGCACTCTAACGAATCTTTATCAGAATTTTGTGGTATTCCACTAAATTTAACAAGTTACAAGGTCTGTTTGTTCAAAGTTGATATCACAAAAATATGATGAACAAAACTTAAATCCTAAGCAAATTATTTCTAAATTTCTTGATGTGGTTCAACCTTGTACACGGCTCCTAACACCTTAAGATTAAAATTCTGTTGATTTTATTTGAAACACATTTACTTCTTCAAGATTCTCAAGCAATTCTTGAAATTTCACCAGAAACACACTTGAATCCGAATCCTTAAACACAGCTTAACCAAAGAAACTCTCAAAACTTTGGAAAAAAATATTCTATTTCCTTATGGGACATTCACTATCAGAATTCCAAAACATGTTTTCTTACTAGACAAGTTCAATCAAACATATTTTCATTCTCAAGATGAAGTTTTGGTGTTTGAGGAAGAAATGGATTTTCAAAGAAAAATCTCTTTTGAAAATAATGAAATTAAATATATTTATATGCGTTGGAGAAAATGCACAAAAACACTGTAAAAATGACTTTATGATTAGAGTCAAAACATAAGTGATGATTCGAATCAAGTGAAGAAATTAATTGAATAAAATAAATAAATAACTGAAAAATTTGAGGCAAGATTCGAATCATGATTCAAGTCATATGATTCGAATCACGATTCAAGTCATATGATTCAAATCAAACTGATCCATGATTCAGATTATGTTTCACAAACCGGAAATCTTGAAAAATAATCTTCGTGATTCGAATCACATAAAATTATGAATGAGATCACATTTCCATGATCAAATCCATTTAGCAAAGACACACTCATGATTCGAATCACACATATACAAGATTCATATCCTGTTTCCCAAAACCAAATTTTTAAAAAATAAACTTCATGATTCAAATTAAAGATTTTGATTATCAGAATCATATTTCCAAAAGCAAATTTTTTAGAAAACGTTTTTGCCATGATTCGAATCAGAATGTTGCATGATCTGAATCATGTTGAATAAATTTCCTTAATTCGAATCATACATTCTTTTTATTCGAGTCAACTGCATTGACTTTGGTCAAATGATTATTTTATGCATGCAAAAACCATTTTAAAAGAGGTGCAAGTGCAAATTTATTGTGAGAGACTTAATTAAAATATAATAAACATAAAGGACAAGCAAAAAAAATCATCCTAATTACATTGGATTACCCTAGGAGCAGTTTCAACATTGGTGACATAACTCTTAGTTCAACAAGTGTGACACCCAACTGTTTGCCCTAAAATTTGGTAAACAACGCTAGACTCTGGTTAAAGGTTGCTTTGCAAGATCGACTAGAGAATCTCAGAACAATGTGCGTGAAACTTTTCAAGTAAAGTAAACATAGTAAGTTTGAATGATTTCGACGGTGGTCGAGATCACGTTCTGAACACAAAGGCAAGTGAAAGTAAAACTTTGACTGGAAAAATAAATGGTTCGGTCGGGAAAAGTACAAAAATGTAAAGTAAAATTGAATGTAAAACTTTGCATAAATGGAGAGTTGGTGATCAAACATACATTGCACTCTTGGGACTCATTTCGCTATTCACTCGGTACTCTGAGTTTTGTGTGAGATTGATAGTAAAATTTGACACCCCTAGTTCTATCATAGAATCTGCTATTTATACTAAAATATAATAACTGCTCTAAAGGCAGGCTTTTTCCCACTACACGCCACATTGTCTTTTGCATGCATCTCCAAAAACCGCTTCCACGCGTCCTTCTATTATGGATAAAGCCAAAAGGTGGTTACACAACCACATTTACGTATTCTAATTTCCTTGGTCGACACACCTGCTTTGGTCGAAGTATCCGTACTTATCATCTGAAAAAAACCCTAACTCCACCACTCTTTCTGTAGGCTAGATCTCGACAACTAGCTCATTGTCTATTTGTCGAACAATCGTCTACATGAGCATCGATCATTCCCTTACAAATTACCCAAAAGTTTCGCCCAAGGTCTCAACATATTCCTTTTATCTTAGCTAGAATTGAAGGTCCTGTCAAAAATCCTAGCTAATAAATTATCCCCCAAAAATGTCTCTTTCGACTGAAAGAAGATGGAGACATTTTTGACATGTCGTTTACACTATTTGATGTAGTGTGCTAACGTCTTTTTCATCATGGTATTCCCATCTGAATTCATTTTACTTTCCAAGTCGAAGTAATAGCGAGAATACTAATGGCTTTCCACTTAGATTTGAGATGAACCTTCTCAGGAAGTTTTTCTTTCCCAATAAAGATTTGAGCTGCTTCTTTGTCGAAGTAGGCTTGATGATCACTTTGGTTTTGCTCGGATTTATCTTGATGTATTTTTTGTGTACCACAAAACCTAGAAAATCTCCTGTATGAACACAAAAAGCATATTTTAATGGATTCATTTTCAATCCATATTTCTTTATCCTTTCAAAGAATTATTGAAGATGGTCTAAATGAACATTGTCCGACGAGGATTTCACAACAATATCATTGATATAGACTTGCATGAACTTGTCAATAAAGTCACAAAATATTGAATTCATGGCTCTTTGATAGATTTCCCCCGCATTTTTCAACCCAAAGGGCATTATCACCCATTCATAAGTTCCTAAGGCACATGGGCATCGAAATGTCATTTTTGGTATGTCGTCTTCAACAATAAAAATTTGATTATATCAAGAATATCCATCTAACATACTAAGGTATTCATGTACTGCAGCTGAGTCGACTAACATCTCTGTCACATGCATGGGATATTCATCTTTCGGAGTAGCATTACTTAAATCCCTAAAGTCTATACAAACTCTAAGATTTTCATTTTTCTTAATAATATGTACTATATTAACTATCCATTCGACATACCTGCATGTTCTAATGAATTTGCTCCTGAGCAGCCTTTTGATCTCTTCTTTGATCTTTGACACGATCTCTGGTGAAAACTATAACACCCTTCTAAACCCCACAAATAATTTACGAATAAAGTAATTAGACTTACCACACAAGGGCATCACACGTCATAAAATCACAAACTAATCCTGCTCCATAACAAGCGTTACATCAGTACTATTCATCACAATACACATTCATGATATTTATGAAACTTCAATAATTATTTAAAACATCGCAGCAGAATCATCATCAAATAAATATTCTCAAATTTCAAACTCATAATATTTAGTCTTATAAAAGAGTGGAAATAAAACTAGTTCGACAATCAAAATCCTTACAAAGGTTTCAACATAATTATAACATAAAAAAATCTAATGAAGCATTCTCGACCTGATGTTACATATCAGAGCAAGACACCTCTAAATTAACGATAAACTACTTAATACTTCAGTGATCTATCTTCCTTACTTCAGCAAGCTACTTCTAGATATCTACATTTTACCCACGTGGAGGCAACATTCAAACAAAAGAGGTGAGTAATCATGATCAATTATAAAAGGCATAAGAGAAAAGTAAACTTCAACAATTATAGTTTACAATTCAACAACATCAATATAACATATACTCACACATTCATTCATCATGAATAGACCACACAACATCTTCATCACAAAATTCACACATGTTCATATAGCAATCACAAATATCATCACATCATATTTCATCAATAAAACTCATGCAAAACCATACAAGATGTGAATGCAATAAAACTGACACAATACATATGGTACCATAACATGAACACATAGGTTCATTTCACTCTATGATCCCCACATATGATCGATTCCCTCTTAGAATCGAAGTACACCGGATCGCCACCATCACTATAGGCAACACTTCACTAAATTTCCGGACGAAGGATTTAGCTACTCGTACTTGAACTATCACCATAGAAAACAAGGCCACAACATAATTGAAAACATAAGTTCCACAACATGGATGCATGAACTCTTATCATGCACAATAACATCAACAACATCATATATTTCAACACAATAATTGCACTCAATCATCACCATAATAAACGAGGAATACAACCACATTTAGAACATAAAGTTCCACAATAGAGGTACATGAATCACAACGGGAAGCAACACCAAGTATCATCATCATAACAGAGTTTCCAAATTTGTCGCCACCACTACTTTTTATCCTAAGGACGGGAAAGTAACGAAAAAACCCTAATTTTCAGAGATCTCTAGGTTCACAAGTTGGTTAGATAAAGGGAAAGTGTTAGACACTCTTTATCTCCTTTGTTCTCAAGGGGACCCCTTTTAGGTTTAGGACTTAATGCGAATTTTCTACTTAAATTATATAATTACCATGTGTATACGAAAAGATTTAGTTTTTTAATTAGGGGACTCACCTTGGTTATAATTGTGTGCCTACGTATCTTCTT